AAAATGGATGGGAATGAGCGAATTCAATTCAGACGATTATCATATCTACTTCTGTGGGCAAGAATTATGTAGAAGAAATGGAGTAGCCTTCATAGTCAACAAAAGAGTGGGAAAAGCTGTACTGGGATACAATCTCAAAAACGAGAGAATGATTTCAACATGAAACCAAGACAGACCTTTCAAGATCACACGTTTATGCACCAATCACCGATGCCGAAGAGGCTGAAATTGACCAGTTCTATGAAGACTTCCAACACCTTCTAGAGTTCAAAACGAAGCAGGGCAAGGCTAATAGAGTTTTGTCAAGAGAACAAGCTGGTCATCACAAACACTCTTTTCCAACAACACATAGGAGGTGACTCTACACATGGACATCACCAGATGAGCAATACCGAAATCAGATTGATTATATTTTGTGCAGCCAAAGGTGGAGAAGCCCTATACAGTCAGCAAAAGCAAGACCTGGAGCAGATTGTGGCTCTGATCATCAGCTTCTCATAGCAAAATTCAAGCTTAAACTGAAGAGAGAAGGAAAAACTACTGGGCTACTCAGGTATACTCTAAACCAAATCCCTTATGAATACACAGTGGAAGTGAATAACAGATTTAAGGAACTCGATTTGGTGGACAGAGTGCCTGAAGAACTATAGATGGAGGCTTGTAACATTGTACAGGAGGCAGCAATAAAAACCATCCCAAAGAAAAGGAAATGCAAGAAAGCAAAGTGGCTGTCCAAACGGCAGAGAGGAGAAGGGAAGCAAAATGCAAGGGAGATAGGGAAAGTTACAGAAAGTTGAATGCAGACTTCCAAAGAATAGCAAGGAGAGACAAGAGGGCCTTCTTAAATGAACAGTGCAAAGAAATAGAGGAAAATGATAGAAAAGAAAAACCAGAGATCTGTTCAAGAAATTTGGAGATATTAAAGGAACATTTTGTGCAAAGATGGACATGATAAAGGACAAAAATGGTAGGGACGTTACAGAAGCAGAAGACATCAAGAAGAGGTGGCAAGAATACACAGAGGAATTATATCAGAAAGATTTGGATATCCTGGACAACATAGATAGTGTGGTTGCTGACCTTGAGCCAGACATCCTGGAGAGTGAGGTCAAGTGGGCCATAGAAGGGGATGGCATTCCTGTTAACTATTTAAAATCTAAAAAGATTATGCTGTTACGATGTTACACTCAATATGCTGGCAAGTTTGGAAAACTCAGCAGTGGCCAGAGGATTGGAAAAGATCAGTCTACATCCTAATCCCAAAGAAAGGCAGTGCCAAAGAATGCTCCCAGCTACTGTACAATTACACTCATTTCACATGCTAGCAAGATTATGCTCAAAATCCTACAAGGTAGGCTTCATCAATATGTGGACCGAGAACTCTCAGAAGTACAAGCTGGATTCCGAAGGAGCAGAGGAACTAGAGACCAAATTGCTAACATGTGCTGGATTATGGAGAAAGCCAGAGAGTTCCAGAAAAACATCTAC